TATATATATATATATATATATATATATATATATATATATACCAGCCTGGCTACTTTCTGCTGAGCCACTGGCCTAGAGCAGCTTCTTTATTCATCAACCAATAAAAGCAACACCTATACAGGACTTTCTACATCATGTCCCCTCTTCTGTCTAAATAAAAAGGAAGATTTTAACTTTAACATAGTAAAATTACATATAACAAAACAGTTATCAAGCAAGAATTAGAGTTGTAATATTTATATCTACTTTATCTTTTATCGCAATTAATGAAAACTATAACTCTAAATTTGTCTACTCCATCAATGACTCCAGAAGGATATAATATTATTTAAGTAAACAGGAAGTGCATTATAAACAACTTCCAAAAATCTAGAATTGACAGAGACGTCTCACAGCCTGGACAGTCACCCAAAGTTCTTCTGTATCATTGGGGCATTCATCTTCAGACTACAGGCCCACAGTATCTGACGTAGAAAGTATGTATGAAGTACGTATTAAGTAGAAAATTTCAAAGACTGTTAGGCATATATTGGCAATTTTTTCATCACTTTCTTCAGTGTTCTGCAGAATGTCTGGCAGTCTCTTTCATGAAGAGACTTTAGGCAAGTTCAGCAGTCATTTTTCTGTGGATCCTGCCTGTCCAGTTCATACAGCATAGCATCAAGCAGTCCAAACAAGAGCAGTTTCTTGCCCAAATGGTTAACAAACCCCATAATGAGCCTCTTCAATGCCTATCTTCCCCTTGAAGTAGATTAGAGCTGTCAGGAGAGTAATTGTCTCACTGTCATGAAGTCTGAAGTTCTTAAAATATTTTAAATGCCATATTCTGAAGATTTCTGAAAGATTTGAAGAATCTCTATTTAACTGTAATTTATCTCTAAATATCTAGAAAACCTAACTAACATGACTACAAGTTTGACTATTATAGATTACTATTACCCTATATTTCTTAATTAGGCATTACGTTTTTAAATGAGCTGCACATTCACAATACCTTTATAAAGAGCAGAAATATACATATAACAAAATTAGCCTTAAATTTGTATCAACAGACCAAGTCCACACCAAAGCAAAATATTCATCTCTATATCAAAGACTAGTGGTATATTTCCAATGTCAGTATTCTAGTAGTTATCCCGAACTGTAGCAGGGACTCCCATTCTATGGCCTGTGGCTTGGTTCTAGAAGAAAATGACTGTTTATGTGTGATGCTTTTTTAGGAACCTCATGTTACCCAAGCTAGCCTCAAAGCTCACTTTATAGCTGAAGATGACCTTGAACTTCTGCTCCTCCCACCACCACCATGACTCCTCAGTGCTGAGATGTCAGATGTGTGCTACTACACCTGGCCGGTTTGCAATAACTATAACTGAAATCCAGCATGGCCGTATTGTAATTAGAGGCAACAAAACCCAAGTCATATTTCTGTTACAGTGTATTTAAACAGGCAGCTAGAGCTCTCTCAGATACTCAGTGCTAATTCCAAACAGCATGAGTCATTAGGTTGCATCTCTGCCTGAATACTGAACATATTCGTTAAGGGAATGAATTAGAAACTACCAATCTTGACCGTAAAATGAAGTAAGAATGAATTTAAACAAGACGGAGATGAAATCAAACAATTCCAAGAGCCCAAAGTGGTGTGCATCCTTGTAACCTAAGCACATAGGAGGACTGTGAGTTCAAGGACACCCTGAGATACTGTCTAAAATTAGAACTAAATAAATAAAGGGTAAAAATTAGAATCAGTGGGTACAGGTGAGTGGTGGTGATGAATGCCTTTAATCCCAGAACTCAGGACAGCAGGTGGCTCTCTGAGTTTGAGGCCAACCAGATCTTCAGAGTGAGTTCCAAGATACATAGGGCTATGCAGAAAAATCCTGTCTTGAAAGACAAGAAAAGGAAAGGAAAGGAAAGGAAAGGAAAGGAAAGGAAAGGAAAGGAAAGGAAAGAGGTAGATAATCACTAAGCTATATAACAACAGAGATGGTCAAAATTCAGAAGGTCCAGGAACCATTCACAGAAAAGCAATCTGGGAATTTGTTATATTTCTTTCTACCTGCTCCCTTGCCCCCACATTATCTTGTATCAGATTAATTCATTAAAATGAAAACTTTAATTCAGCAGTGGTGTTTCATGTCTTTAATTCCAGTAGAGGCAGGCCTAGCTCAGTGAGGTCCAGGATCGCCAAGAAGGCTACACAAAAACCTTTTCCCATAATCCCATGAACTAAAAATAAAAAAAGACATGAGCCAGTGCATGCCTTAATTCCAGCACTGGAAGGGCAGCAATAAGGAGATGTCTGTCAATTGATCTCCAGGCCAACCTGAGTCACATAACAAGGTCCAGGGCAGTCAGAAATACAAGGTGAGGGTCCTTACTTCTCAAAAATAAATATGTAACAAGGACAATACCAGTCAAAAGCTACAAAGATTAGATCCAGAGTTGGTTATAACTCCATTGAATATATCACCAACACTCTTTCTGAGACAGACTCTGGCCTGGTCTTGAACTTGAGGCAATTCTCCTGCCTCAGCCTCCTGAGTGCTGAGATAACAGATTTTACAGCTCATTCCAGGACAGGCTCCAAAGCTACAGATAAAACCCTATCTTGGGAAACAAAACAAAAACAAACAAACAAACAAAAATGTCCAACTCATATGGCACAATTGAAATGAACGTTTTGATGGTGAAACCGAATGCCTTTTAAGAAGGAGTTCTTTTTACTTTATCCTTAAGAACAAAATGGAAAGGGCCTAGGATAAAAGTCTGGCTTTCATTTGGGGGAACTGAGAAAAAGCTTCAGTGAGACAGGTACGGGATAGGGTGTACAATGGGTCTGTCCAGCCAGCTCTACTGTCTCCATTATCTGAAGTATCAGATCCACAAGTAAAGGTCAGAAGAAGTGAGAGAGATGTTCAGAGCACATGGTGAAGATAGGTAGAAAACCAAGTTGCCTAAAACTTACAGGAATGTGTCCGCCTCTACCTCCTGAGGGTGAGACTAAAGGCATTCCCCAGCTGTCACCAAAATAAAGGCATCAAAATGTCCAGTTCTGTATTATGGCCAGATCAGCTCCTGCACTGAAGTTGCCAGAAGCCCAAGGCCCCACCTAAAGTGCTCAGATTTGACCGTACTTGGACACAGTCAAGCTTATGGAAGACACATCATGATCATTCTTCAGCTATAGGCCATATTCATACCCTGTTTTAATTCAGGTGTGTGACTTCTGCCTCCATCTAAGGAACTGGAGAACTCACCTGGGAATGGCTTTGCTCAAATAAACTTATTCTTTTACTTTTTCGACTCAGCTTAATCTGGCTTACTGTGTATCTGGAGAAACCTATTAATTGTGTTATGGAAATCTTATTACCTTGGTGCCAAAAACCCTGGGAGGAGTAGAGACTTCCTGGCTTGTGGACCAGCTCTTCCAGCCGAGTTGAGGGGGTAACTCTTCTTGCTTTATCTTCCTTTGCAATAGATGTGACTGACTTTTTACTTGGGGTAAATCACCAAGTACCTCTCTCCTGGGCTAGGAGACCCAGGATCCGCTGCCAAGCTTAGGCCACACCAGGGCAAACCCAATCTGTTTGCAGAGCAGAGATAATCCCTACTTCGGGGAAACTTTGTGTTTGGGGGATGTCCTTCTGAAAGGCTACCCCAGTCCCTGCCACTTGGCCCCAGGCTGTCTCGGGGGACTACTAATATCTTACATTTGCCTGATGTAGTGTTCTGTTGAGTGGGCTCTGAGACCTCCAGGTGCTCTTGTTCAGACCTGGAACTGGAGTGTTTTGCATTGTACATAGAAACCAGGCGTGTGCAAAGTCAGATTGTTACAACTCTGACCTTCCGTGAGGAAAGGGGAGGCCCAGAGATTAACAGAGAATAGGGATTCCCAAGAGCGTGAGGCTCTTATAATCACTGCAGTCTTGTACTAGCTGCCGCAACCTCCTCTGCTTGCTCAAGAAGTACCAGATAAAGCATTATTTCTATCATGGTATCTCTTGGCCCAGCTGGGCAGTTTTTGTGCTTTGTGGGGTGTAAGGGACGACAGGAGGGAAATAAATCTGAGTGGGCTAAAACCAATGGGCAATGAGGTGCAGTGCCTTGGTGCCCTGGTTGATGGAGAGTCTTGGCAAATGAAAAGCTGTATGAAGAGACTGTAAGCTAGACACAGGTTGGTGACGAGATTCCCACCGGTGCCTGTGGTCTCCCAAGAGAGGACAAAAGTGTGGAGTAGGGGAACTGGAT